CTACGCCCAGAGGGCTGGTGGGATTCGGTAATCCGTGAACCGTGCAGGCTGTCGCTGCCTCTCACGGCAGGTGACCTCGTCTGGCCACCAATGCTCACAGCACGCGGCACGGTCGTCGCTTCGAGCCTCGGCGCGAGGGGCCGCACTCCTCGGCGCGGACCAGCGCGATGCGCAGTCTCACGTCGAGATCGGCTCCTTCACGAGCGAGACTCGCTACAGACAGAAAAGGTTCCTGTATCCTCACTTGCTGCCACCAGCACTTGGCGGCCCGGTCGGCGCCGTCGTGCCATATTTTCCGAGCTGCTACGCGGAGAAGCGCCTGCCCACCTGGAGCGCTTGCGAAAGAATGTTGCAGGCCACGCGCCAGCTGCTGGGGGCGCGATCGCCACAGCCAGTTTCCTTGGTCCGAAATGAGCTCAACATGGACTGCGTCTTCCAAAACGGCCGGCATTGGCGCCACCTGCGGCTGTCCCGCCCTCACAGGAGGCAGGCGCCTGGAGGCCCGCCTTGCGATCGACGACAAGCGCCAGTCTCATTTTCATGTCTCCCTCCAACCCCGAGCGGCTGCCCTGGTAGGGCAGTGGGGAGCTAGCTGCAGTCGGTGCTCACGGAGACCCCCGGCCGACCGCTCGGGCAAGCCAGCAGTCACGCCATCTGAACGCTGTCGTACTTTCAGCGGCAAGAGTGCCAACAACAACATATTGGTGTACCTCCAACCTCGAAGCCCACCTACATCAGTGAGCTACACGAGCGCCATGTATTTCCAGTGCCCCGTCAAGGTCGCCATAGGGGCCCATGTCTGCCGCAGCGAGCTGGGGTTTGGCCAGCGGCCGAGGTCTGGGGGCCACATCTGTACACCATCACGGCGTTGTTTGTTTGTTTGTTTGCTTTGTGGGTATGTTTGCTCTGTTGTAGTTTTTCTTGTTAGTTCTTCGTTTTTGGATTGTGCGTGAGTGGTTTGTTCTTTTGTCTGTGTGTGTGTGTGCGTGTGCGTGTGCGTGTGCGTGCGTGTGTGCGTGCGTGCGTGTGCGTGTGCGTGTGTGTGTGTGTGTGTGTTTTGGTTGTTGCGTTGTTGTTGCTGTTGCTGTTGTTGTTGTGGCTGCTGTTGCTGTTGTTGTAATTGTTGCTGTTGTTGCGGTTGATGTTGTTGGTTGTTGTTGCTGGTTGTTGTTGTTGTTGTTGTTGTTGTTGTTGTTGTTGTTGTTGTTGTTGTTGTTGTTGTTGTTGTTGTTGTTGTTGTTGTTGTTGTTGTTGTTTGGCTTGCATGTTTATTGTGCTGTTGCTTTTATTTGTCACATGCAGTGTGTTGAGTTATTGTTTCGGCTGCGGGTCGCCAGGTGTGCGACAACACGTGATAATAGCATGTCGTCTGTACGGCGTCATTTGGGCGCGCGGTTACATGCGCAACGCACATTTCTTTCTGTGTTCTTTCTGGGGGGGACCGTCGCTTTTATAACCACCTCTGGGTGGCAATCGAGTATCTCACAGCGATAATTCTTGACCAGATGCGGCCCCCATCTGCGCGCATGCATCTGTGACAGGTCTTTTCGTTTGGCGCAGGCACGCAGAGGCGGCCCCTGTCGGGGTGGTGACGATCGTTTTTGTTGTTTCTTTTCGACTGGTGGCTTCTATTTGTCGGTCTTGCACGAGGCGGAGTCGCGCTCAGTGCTATGGTATCGAACCGCCAGCGGGCTGCCATCGGTAACAATTCCAACGACGCATGGCGTGCCACTGTGCCCCCCTGGCCCGCAGAGGCCCAGAGGGATCACCTGGCGGCCCACGGCAGCTTGCTCTTGAATGTGTGACTGCGACCACATGCGGACGCACGCAGAGATCCAGAGAACGTCGTCCCGTGGCGATGAGGCGGCAGATGAGACCCAACTCAAACCGCTGGCAGGCATCCCAAGCACCAGCGCGCTCTTTCCGCATGTTATGGTGCACCACGATGCTCGTTCAGAGGCGTGTGCTCGGCGCGCCACGGTTTGCAATCTGGTGGCTTTCTGCCTACGCCCACAACGCCGCCACCCTCAGGCTGAATCACGTTGGCTCAATGTGACAGGCCACACGGAAGAAGTACGGGCCACACCCCAGCGTGCACACGTTGTCATGGTGGCACCATGGCCATTTCCCCTGACAGCGATGGTTTCCCGATTCGATTTGCCAGTTGGCGGGCCAACGTATACGGCCGTGCTCGAAATTGCTCAACCATCGGACCGCTGTATGCTCTTCGCGTTCAGGGTGCAGTTTCCTGGCAGAAGTGTTGAGACGGTTGTGCATCTGGCAGCCTTCGTGAGAACAATCGTAGCTAACACTTTGGGTCTACGTCGTAGGGCACGGGAAACTGCACTAGGTCTGGCAGCAAGCAGGGGCTAGCATACGCACGAGAAGCATACAGAGGAGAAAACCAGGGAAACGATGATAGAGGTGACGAGGGCCAAGTGAGATAAGAGGAGAAAGGGGTAAGCAACCAGGGGTAGAGGAGAGAAGGGAGAAGGAATAAGCGGAGAGGGGGCAGTAGGGAAGATGCAGGAGAAATAGCGAAAAGCAGCGACGCCTCCATTTAAAACAATGCCTCGACCAGAAGGAGAGTTGGGGAGGCATATTCGTTATGCGTCCAGAGGAGAGGCTTATTCTCAGGGAGCAGAACAAGAACCTGACTGGGCCCCTGAGGGGCCTTCTGGGTTTGGGTGGGTGCTGATTCAGCCTCGCCGAGGTCCATTGGGCCGCGCCGAGGTCCTGCGAGACCAGGGCTCATCAAAACGAAATCGGTCCACGAAATCGCAAAACACCGTTTGCTGTGCTTGACGACTACCGCAGGGCACTTCGATGCCAAAATGGATCCCAGATGCGCAGGGAAGTTATCTCTGCGGCCTCTTATGACCGAGTGGTGCCTGGCGAAATCGCAAAACACCGTTTACTGTGCGAGACGACTGCCGTAGGGCACTACGATGCCAAATGGATCCCAGATGCGCAGGGAAGCTACCTCCGCGGCCTCTTGTGACCGAGTGGTGCCTGGCGGAGGCCACAGCTGGCCAGAGAAGAGGGGAGAGCGGAATGGTGAGGAGGACGACGACGGGGAGGAGGATGGGCGGCGAAGGAGAGGACGAGGAGGAGAGGAGGGCGAGGAGGGGGAGGACGAGGGCGAGGAGGAGGAGGACGACGCAGGGGAGGAGAATGGCGAGGAGGACGACGACGGTGAGGAGGACGACGACGGGGAGGAGGAGGGGGGGGGGAAGTGAGAAGGAGAAGGCCCTCTCAGAAGGCGGCGGGGCTTCTCAGAAGCCCCCTCGGCCTGCTGGGAAGTCTTCGGCGCCTTCGGGGAGGGCTTCTCCGCAAACTTCTCTCGGAAGGCCGGAGGGCTCCCGGGCCCTCCACGAGGGCCCGCCCCCTGCTCTCCGCTCTCCCCCCTGGGGCTCGCCGCCGAGAGGGCCTCGCAGGTCCCTGCGCCCCGCCGCTCCCTCGGGGCCTCCGGGCCGCTCGGGGCCTCTCCTGCCCCCCGCCCCCCCCCGCGGGGGGGCCGACGCCGCGGGGGAGCACGCCGTCTGCTTGTTCTCCGACCCTTCGCGCCTCGGCTTGCGCGGGGGCGATCCAGGTCTGCGCCTTGCCCCGCCTCCCCCTCCTCCTCCTCCTCCTCCTCCTCCTCCTCCTCCTCTTCCTCCTTCTCCGCCTCCTCTTTTCCTCCTCCCCCCCCCATCCTCCTCCTCCTCCTCCCTCCTCTCCTCTCCTCCTCCCTCTCCTCCTCCTCCTCCTCCTCCTCCTCCTCCTCCTCCTCCTCCTTCCTCCTTTCTCCGCCTTCTCTTTTCCTCCTCCCCCCCCCTCCTCCTCCTCCTCCTCCTCCTCCTCCTCCTCCTCCTCCTCCTCCTCCTCCTCCTCCTCCTCCTCCTCCTCCTCCTCCTCCTCCTCCTCCTCCATGCTTTTTTGGCATGGCCTCCAACGGGCTCCCCAGCACGAGCGCGAGCCCGTCGTGCGGAGTCGAGAGGCCCGCTGAGCTTGGGGTTCGCGGCTGTCTCAGGGCTGTCCCGTGGTCGCCGAGCTGCCACCGCCGGGTCTGCTCGACGCCGCTGGCCCGGGGAGCTCGCTTCGCCGGCCCACGGCCGCATTCCCTCCCCTCCCTCTCCTGCGGCTCGTGCTGGCCGAGCGCTCTCCCGTGGGCCTCACGGTGGGCTCGCTCCCGTGGGCCCCGGCCGCGCAGTGCCCGCGGGGACCCTCCTCGGGGGCAGCAGGCCGTGCCGCCCGCTTGGACAGAGCTCGAGCTGGAGATCGACTGCAGGCTTGACTTTCCCCGAATTCCCATCCATCCTGTGGTGCTGGGTCCTCGTTTTGAAGAGACAGCGCCTCTCCTCTCCTCTCCTCTCCTCTCCACTCCTCTCTCCTCTCCTCTCCTCTCTCCTCTCCTCTCTCCTCTCCTCTCTCCTCTCCTCTCCTCTACTCTCCCCCCCTCCCTCCTCTCTCCTCTCATCCCTGCTTCTGCCCCCCGCAGGTCAAACAAATTCGGCACACCTCTCACACGTTCCGTGGTCCCATAGGGAGCTCCACCGAAGGCCGCAGTGGCAGCACCCGCATGGCACCGCCGCGCTCATTTCGGAACACCCCTCACACGTTTTGTGGCCCCGTATGGAGCTCAACTGAAGGCCCCAGCGGCAGTGCCCGCATGGCACCGCCGCCCCCCATTTCGGCATACACCTCACACGTTTCGTGGCCCCATATGGAGCTTCACCGACGACGATACTCACAACCGCGGTACTCACAACTGCATACAGTTGGGCCCTTCGCGTGGATGTTTTTCGTCGATTGTGCGAGAAATACAGACCGCTTGTATACTTACTCGCATTCTATGTTCATGAATAGGTCTACGAACCACAAATTTGGGACACATCTGCAGTCGATCTCCTACTCGAAGAGCGGAGCACCCCCGAGGAGTGGACAAGTACGCCTCCTGGTCGGTGACGTCGTTTCTCAACGTGACGGACCTGCCGTTCTCCAAGTGCCAGGAGAACCAGGCGCGGGCCCCAGGCAGCTCCCTCGGGGTCGAGGCACCGTGGCAGCAACGAGTCACGGCGGATGCCTCTGCCTGGCCTCGGGCCTCGGGCCGCTCACAGACCGATCCTACCCGAGAAACCGCGCTGAACGACAAGGTTGAAAGAGATATACATATATATATATATGTATATATTTACATACGTGCCTATACATACATACATACATACATGTATATATGTATATATGTGTATATAGATGTATATACAAACATATTCAAACAGTTATTACCTAACAGCGAAGACTGATAGGTTTCTAGTAGGCTCAAAAGAGAGCATCATGACTCCTCAGGGGGGTCGGGGCGGGACCCGGGGCGGCTGCCGTCGAAGCCCAAATCGCTTGGGACATCCTCGCAAAATCGCTCTTGGCGCTGCTAGAACTCCATTCCCGGCGTACATTTTGGATGCCCAGAGCCAACTGTAGGCCACTTCGTGGTCTTCGAGTTCCCAGAACTCCATTCCCGGCGTACATTTTGGATGCCCGGAGCCAACTGTAGGCCACTTCGTGGTCTTCGAGTTCCCAGAACTCCATTCCCGGGCCACATTTTGGATGCCCGGAGCCAACTGTAGGCCACTTCGTGGTCTTCGAGTTTCCAGAACTCCATTCCCGGGCCACATGTTGGGTGCCCGGAGCCAACTGTAAGCCACTTCGTGGTCTTCGAGTTCCCAGAACTCCACTCCCGGGCCACATGTTGGGTGCCCGGAGCCAACTGTAAGCCACTTCGTGGTCTTCGAGTTCCCAGAACTCCATTCCCGGGCCACATTTTGAATGCTGAGGCAGGCTGAGGCTGAGGCTGAGGCAGGCTGAGGCTGAGGCAGGCTGAGGCTGAGAACGAGGCTGAAGGCAGACTGAGGCTCAGGCTGAAGCAGGCTGAGGCTGAGGCTGAGGCTGAAGCAGGCTGATGCTGAGGCAGGCTGAGGCTGAGGCTCAGGCTGATGCAGGCTGAGGCTGAGGCAGGCTGAGGCTGAGGCCGAGGCTGAAGGCAGACTGAGGCCGAGGCTGAAGCAGGCTGAGGCTGAGGCTGAGGCAGGCTGAGGCTGAGGCTGAGGCAGGCTGATGCTGAGGCAGGCTGAGGCTGAGGCTCAGGCTGATGCAGGCTGAGGCTGAGGCAGGCTGAGGCTGAGGCCGAGGCTGAAGGCAGACTGAGGCTGAGGCTGAAGCAGGCTGAGGCTGAGGCTGAGGCAGGCTGAGGCTGAGGCTGAGGCAGGCTGATGCTGAGGCAGGCTGAGGCTGAGGCTGAGGCTGATGCAGGCTGAGGCTGAGGCAGGCTGAGGCTGAGGCCGAGGCTGAAGGCAGACTGAGGCTGAGGCTGAAGCAGGCTGAGGCTGAGGCTGAGGCAGGCTGAGGCTGAGGCTGAGGCAGGCTGATGCTGAGGCAGGCTGAGGCTGAGGCTGAGGCTGATGCAGGCTGAGGCTGAGGCAGGCTGAGGCTGAGGCCGAGGCTGAAGGCAGACTGAGGCTGAGGCTGAAGCAGGCTGAGGCTGAGGCTGAGGCAGGCTGAGGCTGAGGCTGAGGCAGGCTGATGCTGAGGCAGGCTGAGGCTGAGGCTGAGGCTGATGCAGGCTGAGGCTGAGGCAGGCTGAGGCTGAGGCCGAGGCTGAAGGCAGACTGAGGCTGAGGCTGAAGCAGGCTGAGGCTGAGGCTGAGGCTGAGGCAGGCTGAGGCTGAGGCTGAGGCAGGCTGAGGCTGAGGCTGTGACTGCGACTGCCGTTGCCACTGCGACTTTCATCGCGAATGCGACTGCGACTGCGAGAACAGCAGAATTCTACAACTGGATTCTCATGTGAATCGTAAGGGGAATGCTTCCAGATGTGCTCATACACATCGCTGTTAGATTGCTTTGCTGGGATAATATATACATACATTTTATATATAGACATGTTTATATATGTATGTATACATGGGTGCGCACCTATATATACATATATACATATATATGTATATTTGTGTGTTTGTATGTATGTATGTATGTATGTCTGTCTGTCTGTCTGTATGTATGTATGTATGTATGCATGCATGCATGTAGGTAGGTAGGTAGGTAGGTAGGCAGGTATGTATGTATGTATGTATGTATGTATGTATGTATGTATGTATGTATGTATGTATGTATGTATGTATGTATGTAAACGTATGCATGCATGCATGCATGCATGCATGCATGCATGCATGCAGGGTATGTATGCATGTATGTATGTATGTATGCATGTATGTATGTCGTGTCTGCTGTCTGTCTGTCTGTCTGTTGTCTGTCTGTGTGTCTGTCTGTGTGTGTCTGTCTGTCTGTCTGTCTGTCTGTCTGTCTGTCTGTCTGTCTGTCTGTGTCTGTCTGTCTGTCTGTCTGTCTGTCTGTCTGTCTGTCTGTCTGTCTGTCTGTGTATGTATGTATGTATGTATGTATGTATGTATGTATGTATGTATGTATGTATGTATGTATGTATGTATGTATGTATGTATGTATGTATGTATGTATGTATGTATGTATGTATGTATGTATGTATGTATGCATCTCTCTCTCTATATATATATATATATATACATCTATACAGATATATAGATCTTCCCGTGCACAAGACCCGGGTGCCCGGGGCCCGGGGCCTGGGGGGCATGGGAGGACCGGGGTTTCCCAGACCGCTCCCAGAGCACCCCGGAGCGGCCCTGGAGCTCCCAGACTGTCCCAGAGAGCTCCCAGAAGCCCTCGGGGACTTCGACAAGCCCCTCCAAGACAGCCCAGATAGCCCCAACGTGGCCCCAGATGGGTTCCAGACCAGAAATACACAGCCCAAGAGGCCTCCAAGAGGCCTCAAGGGACTTCTGAAAGGCGTCCCCAGAGAGCCCGAAGAGGCCCAAATCCTTGATTTTCACGTGTTTTTTCGATGTTTTCGGTGTCTATTGTTTTCGACCTTCGACGCTCCACGACAGCCGACGACGCCCCCAAGACCGCCTCAAGACCGCCGAAGAGGCCCCCAACAGAGCCCCAAGACGGCCCCAGGGAGCCCGAAAATTGTCCGGGAGGAGCCTCAGACGGCCCAAGAGAGCCCCAGGACAGGCCCAAGCTGGGCCCCAGAGCGGGAGCGGGAGGCCCCAGATCGCTCCAAGACGGCCCTGATGGCCCCAACGTGGCCCCGGATGGGCCCGACACGGCGAATACACAGCCCAAGAGCCCTCCAAGAGGCCCCAAGAGAGCTCCGAGAGGCGTCCCGAGAGAGCCCGAAGAGGGCCATATCCTTGATTTCCAGTCGTTTTCTCCAATGTGTTTCGCTTTCTCGCGTTCTCGAGCTTCCAACGCTCCAAGACGGCCGAAGACGCCCCGAAGATCGCCCCAAGACCGCCGAAGAGGCCCCCAAAAGAGCCCCAAGACGGCCCCAGAGATCCTGACTGCCCAAGAGCAGCCCAAAACTGCCCAATATAATCCCGGGAGAGGCACAAGATGGGCCCCAGAGCGGGAGCAGGAGGCCTCAGGGCGCTCCAGGACGGCCGAGATGATTCCAACGTGGCCCAAGATGAGCTCAAGATGGCAATCATACAGCCCGAGAGGCCTCCAAGAGAGCCCAAGAGAGTTCCGAGAGACGTCCCGAGAGAGCCCAAAGAGGCCCATATTATTGATTTGCATTGGTTTGTTCGGTGTTTTTCGCTTTCTTGCGTTCTCGAGCTTCCAGTGCTCGAAGGCGGCCACAGACGCCCCCAAGACCTCCCCAACCGTCGAAGAGGCACCCAAAAGAGCCCCAAGACGGCCCCAGGGAGCCCGAAAATAGTCCAGGAGGAGCCTTAGACGGCCCAAGATATCCCCAGGACAGGCCCATGCTGGGCCACAGAGCGGGAGCGGGAGGCCCCAGAGCGCTCCAAGAGGGCCCAGATGGCCCGGGCCTCCCCCCTATGTCCCTCCTTGCCTCCCGCCCCCTCCCCTTGCCTCCATTCCCTCCTCTTTCTTCTTCCTCCCCTCACCCCTTAGCTTTTGTGCTCCTCCCTCCTCTCCTGGGACGGCCCCGCCAGAGCGCCAGACAGGCCCCGCCAGAGCGAGCGGGGCATTGCCATACCCTATCATTTCACAAGTTGCTTTCCCCCTCCCACCCCTGCAGGGCGGCCCGAGAACGCTGGAAATCGTCATTGTGACCACAGCGGGGCTTGCAGCGGCATCCGTGCCTCATCTGCGACTAGAACCTAAGCGCGCGCGTAGCGCGCGTGTGGTTCAATTGTGTGTGTGTGTGTGTGTATTTATATACACATATGTATGACTATATGTATGTATGTATGTATGCATGTATGCATGCATGCATGCATGCATGCATGCATGCATGCATGTATGTATGTATGTACGCATGTATGTATGTATGTATGCATGCATGCATGCATGTATATATGTATGTATGTATAGATATGTATACATACATGTATATCTGCATATATGCATGCATGCATGCATGCATGCATGCATGCATGCATGCATGCATGCATGCATGCATGCACGTATGTATGTATGTATGTATGTATGTATGTATGTATGTATGTATGTATGTATGTATGTATGTATGTATGTATGTATGTATGTATGTATATATGTATGTGACCTGCACCGCGCCAGCGACGCCCAACGACGCTGCGTCCTTGCGGCCCAGAACTCTGTCCTTACCCTGTGCCACGGACCTCCTGGGACCGGGAAAACCAAGGTCGCGGCCTGCGTGGCGGACGCTTACATGTCTTGCCTCCCCCCAGGGTGGGGCGTAGGGTGTTTTGGCGGCACCAATGGGTCCATGGACAACCTGGCAGAGCAAATCGGGAAGAACCTGAACCCAGCCAACAAGGACCTGTTCCCGTGCATGGCCGTGCGCCTCGCACACGAGGACAAGGTAAAGGGCAACGTAGCCAAAACGATCACCCCCGCCGCCAAGTACGCCAAAATGTACAACGTATCGGAGGACGAGGTCACCACGGGGCACGCGAGCTGGTTCCGCAAGTTCCGAGCAGAA